TTGCGGTTTTTAACAAGAAGTCAAAAATATCACTTTTTACCAAAAATTACAAAAATATTCACCAAATGGACAAATCTAAGAGAGGTCTACCCCAGGTATATACATACCAAGTATCAAAGCATTCAGGCTTGTAGTTTTCAAGAAGAAGTCGAAAAATTAAAACACTGACACTGACGACGACGGACGATGGACGCGACGGACAATCATTCATAACTTGGTGTAACTGAAAATGGCGGAATAAACAAGAAGTTTGAAAGCTCTCTGGTTTCTTTGATGTTTTTGTGTGTTACTGAGTCAACACAGTATTGTTAAAAATGCCAATATTTAAGTTTTGGATGAATGAAACATGATATAACTTCAAAAGAAATTCTACAGGAATACACAGTTCAACTCAAGATTATATTCAGTGAAAACTTCTAGAAGTAGATGAGGACAGTACACAGATCATATCTATGTAATCTGTGTAGAAGTGAATTCTTACTTGTTCATCAAGAGAAATCAACGCATCACCCAGGGCAGCTCCTGCTTCATCATTTCTTCTATCAAGATCAAATGATTTCTGGTAACATCTTTTTGCTTTTCTAATTGGATGGAAATACTCAAAATGAGAGTGGGTATTCTACCAGTATACAATCGCAACAATTTAAAAAAATATTCTATTTCCAACATCAATCTTTTTTTAAGAAAGCACTGTACATTAAAATTCACTTGTCTATTAGAGCGAGAGCCAAATAATCTTAAGAGGAGGAAAACGACAATCCTTATTAATATTCTGCGACGATGATGTCAGCGGCATTTGTTATGACTTTGCTTGCAACTGCTGGAAATAAAAGACCCTTTGGCATAGGATTGTGATCAAATAAATATTTGGTGTGGTTAAATGTAAAATGCGTTTAAGATTCATTAATTTACCATTTTCATATTCTATGCAATTTAATATCTTGCTTAAAATATCTAACTTCATTTTGTGACATAAAACCCATTTAAAAATGGCAGTGTTAGCTTGTTGGGATTGATAAACAAACATCAGTGATAATGATTTGAGGATTATTGTAATGCTTGCATGGCAATGCATGGCACTACACAGCACAGCATCACATAGCACAGCACTGTTATTATACCGGTAGTACATTATAGTACACTGAACCACAATATACTTGTGATTTCCATGCCAATTATGTGTATACTTACTTGATATCTCCAGTGACATTTTCATAATAATATCCCAAGTACAAGAAGGTATCTGAATGGTATGGGTCAAGTTTAGCTGCCTGAAATATAACACAACACAAATTTACCTTAATGCCATTATTAGGTCATGGTACAATGATAGGAAATCATAGAAGCCATGGTTGCCCTGGAAACACAATCTCAATTAGACACTAATACCTTCAGAAAATTATTAAAACATTTATTTCTATCCATCCTCTCTTCTTTTCCAATTTCCCAGTTAATTCTTGCCAACCAATAATAATATAATCCACTGTCACCACTCATCTCAATAACATCTGTCAATCTGAAAAAAAAAATCATGAACATTAAATTTCCTCATGACAAACTTTTGTTAGCTTGCTCAGTGTTCAATATTTCTGATAATATTAACTTAATATGACATCACAAGTTATGACGTCAGTTGTGGCACTACAATTTGTGATCTATGGTATAGCACTGTAAACTTTGTCATATCATAAGGTTATTAACAAAATACCTGAATTTAAGTCCAAGTACATACAAAGAAGTTATAGGGTGTCGCACTGTGATGTCTTATGTTTACGTTTATGTCAACCAGCATGTGACTATCTGATAAGATATTGTGACATTGTTGCCCACAATTTGTTTTATTAAACATAAACATATACATGTATATTCAAGTGTAGCAGTGAACAATGCCATTATTTTATCTACAGGTAAAAACTACTGGTTCATGCCATAAACTGAATTTGGTAATTTGGTTAATAACCTTGTTTTGCAATTAAGTCCACAGATGCTGAGAAGAAAATTTGTCACCAGACGCTATCAGTGACGTGCCACATGTACACATTCGACTGATGCAAATTCTGAGTAAACTTATGTCTTCATATAAGATAGAAAGAATGTCTGTTATAATGCATGTATTTGTGCAGTCACTTTATTGAATATCTTCTGGAAGTATTTTTCCATGTACTAGCAACCGGGAAAAACGTACAACTTTAAAATCAGAGGCCTAATAACTATATTGTTAATAACCACTGCGGAAATTCTTACAAAGTTGTATTTTGAAACTATATAGGTTACAGTAGTAGATTTGTATATGTATAATAACACAAGTTATGACATCACTGAGTGTATGACTACTATACCTTTTCAGAGCTTCAGATAGATTGCCATGTAAGAACTGTATCCATCCATACATAGCCAGCACTGAACACTGTGTACTGTGAGTCTCCATAGCTTTGTCAATGTACTGTTATGAGTATGAAGAAATAAAATATTATGATGCAGTGGGCAAACTGAAGTGGTGGAATTCAAATTGTGGTGTACAACCAATAGGCCAACTGAAATGGTGGAATTCAAATCATAGTGTGTAACCAATGGGCCAACTGAAGTGGAATTCAAATTGTGGTGTACAACCAATGGGCCAACTTAAGTGGTGGAATTCAAATTGTGGCGTACAACCAATGGGCAAACTGAAGTGGTGGAATTCAAATTGTGGTGTACAACCAATGGGCCGACTGAAGTGGTGGAATTCAAATTGTGGTGTGTAACCAATGGGCCAACTGAAGTGGCGGAATTCAAATTGTGGTGTACAACCAATGGGCCAACTGAAGTGGAATTCAAATTGTGGTGTACAACCAATAGGCCAACTGAAGTGGTGGAATTCAAATTGTGGTGTACAACCAATGAGCCAACTGAAGTGGTGGAATTCAAATTGTGGTGTACAACCAATGGGCCAACTGAAGTGGTGGAATTCAAATCATAGTGTGTAACCAATGTGCAAACTGAAGTGGAATTCAAATTGTGGTGTGTAACCAATGGGCAAACTGAAGTGGTGGAATTCAAATTGTGGTGTACAACCAATGGGCCAACTGAAGTGGTGGAATTCATATTGTGCTGTGCAACCAATGGGCCAACTGAAGTGGTGGAATTCAAATTGTGGTGTGTAACCAATGGGCCAACTGAAGTGGTGGAATTCAAATTGTGGTGTACAACCAATGGGCCAACTGAAGTGGAATTCAAATTGTGGTGTACAACCAATAGGCCAACTGAAGTGGTGGAATTCAAATTGTGGTGTACAACCAATGTACAACCAACTGAAGTGGTGGAATTCAAATTGTTATGTGTAACCAATGGGAAAACTGGAGTAGTAGAATTCAAATTGTGATGTGTAACCAATAGGCCAACTGAAGTGGTGGAATTCAAATTGTGATGTATAACCAAAGGGCCAACTGAAGTGGTGGAATTCAAATTGTGATGTGTAACCAATGGGCCAACTGAAGTGGTGGAATTCAAATTGTGGTGTACAACCAATGTGCCAACTGAAGTGGTGTAATTCAATTCATAGTTTGTGACCAATGGGCAATCTGAAGTGGTGGAATTCAAATCATAGTGTTTTACCAATGGGCAAACTGAGATGGTGGAAATAAAATCATAGTGTGTGACCAGTGGGAAAACTGAAGTGGTGGAATTCAAATCATAGTGTGTGACCAATGGGGAAACTGAAATGGTGGAATTCAAATCATAGTGTGTAACCAATGTGCAAACTGAAGTGGTGGAATTCAAATCATAGTGTTTTACCAATGGGCAAACTGAGATGGTGGAATTCAAATCATAGTGTTTTACCAATGGACCAACTGGAGTGCTGGAATTCGAATCATAATGTTTTACCAATAGACCAACTGGAGTGGTGGAATTCAAATCATAGTGTGTGACCAATGGGGAAACTGAAATGGTGGAATTCAAATCATAGTGTGTAATCAATGGGCAAACTGAAGTGGTGGAATTCAAATCATAGTGTGTAATCAATGGGCAAACTGAAGTGGTGGAATTCAAATCATAGTGTTTTACCAATGGGCAAACTGAAGTGGTAAAATTCAAATCATAGTGTTTTACCAATGAACCAACTGAAGTGGTGAAATTCAAATCATAGTATGTGACCAACGGGCAAACTGACTTGGTGGAATTCAAATCATAGTGTTTTACCAATGGGCCAACTGAAGTGGTGGAATTCAAATCATAGTGTGTGACCAACAGGCAAACTGAAGTGGTGAAATTCAAATCATAGTGTTTTACCAATGAACCAACTGAAGTGGTGAAATTCAAATCATAGTACATGTATGTGACCAACGAGCAAACTGAAGTGGTGGAATTCAAATCATAATGTTTTACCAATGGATCAACTGGAGTGGTGGAATTCAAATCATAGTGTGTGACCAATGGGGAAACTGAAATGGTGGAATTCAAATCATAGTGTGTAATCAATGGGCAAACTGAAGTGGTGGAATTCAAATCATAGTGTTTTACCAATGGGCAAACTGAAGTGGTAAAATTCAAATCATAGTGTTTTACCAATGGGCCAACTGAAGTGGTGGAATTCAAATCATAGTGTGTGACCAACAGGCAAACTGAAGTGGTGGAATTCAAATCATAGTGTTTTACCAATGGGCAAACTGAAGTGCTGGAATTCAAATCATAGTGTGTGACCAACGGGCAAACTGAAGTGGTGAAATTCAAATCATAGTGCATGTATGTGACCAACGAGCAAACTGAAGTGGTGGAATTCAAATCATAGTGTTTTACCAATGGGCCAACTGAAGTGGTGAAATTCAAATTGTGGTGTGTGACCAATGGGCCAACTGAAGTGGTGAAATTCAAATTGTGGTGTGTGACCAATAGACCAACTGAAGTGGAATTCAAATTGTGGTGTGGTGTGCAACCAATAGACCAACTGAAGTGGAATTCAAATTGTGGTGTGTAACCATGCAATGGGCCAACTGAAGTGGTGAAATACAAATTGTGGTGTGCAACCAATAGGCCAAAATGAAGTGGAATTCAAATTGTGGTGTGTGACCAATAGACCAACTGAAGTGGTGAAATTCAAATTGTGATGTGCAACCAATAGGCCAAATGAAGTGGAATTCAAATTGTGGTGTGTGACCAAGAGACCAACTGAAGTGAAATTCAAATTGTGGTGTACAACCAATGCGCCAACTGAAGTTGAGGAATGCAATCATGGTGTGTAACCAATGGGCAAACTGAAGTGGTGGAAATCAAATCATGGTTTTGTGACTACAATGGAATCATTCAAAAAATAAGTTTATACATGTTAGGTCTCTAGAGATTAGATACAATAAAAGATATCGTGTACAGTACATACCTCTTTAGCCTTGTCAAGTTCATTATTGGCAATACAGGATTTACATAATCCAAGTAACAACTCAAGATTATCACAGTCTTCTTCCAATAACTGAAAACAATGAGATTCATATTGAGTTCAGATATATCAATCTATTATTAGCATATACGCTAAATTACGCTCGGACCATACTGTATTTCCACTATACAGATTGCAAAAAATACCTAGTGTCCCATTCTCAATTCACACAAGGGGTAGAAATTAAGACCTGTCTACCTGTCACAGGCATATTTTAGCTTGGACAGGTAAATAAACAAATGAATAAAGTATTTACTAACTGACTAAATGGGGTATTCATGTTACTAGTGTAAAAATATTGTTTTCAGATTGATTGATTTAAAATATGTTTCTATGTAATTACACAATGACATCAGTTTTATGAAAGTAAATCTAGGTACATATAAATTGTGAATTTGAATCCCCAGTGTCACTCCATCTCAGATATTTAATTAAATATAAATAATATATATATATATATATATATACTGTGGATATCACATTTATCAGATATATTGTATCCACACATTACAATCAAACATGTCATAAACAAAAAAATCATGAAAATGATATGAATGCCAACATCATCTTTCATAAAAATAAACCAGCATATGTTTTTCAATATTGTTGGTGAAAGTTATGATTAAGACTTGTTACTAATTAGAAATGATGTCCATAGAAAAATAGAAAATAGAAAAAGTATTGTAACACAAAAATGTGCAGACAAATTTGGTGGAGACAAATATTAACACATATGAAAGAGTTAAATTGCCTCAGATTGTTATTTATATCAAATTGTAATATAAGCATTCACCTTGCTATATGCCGCTATTGCTTTATTGATGTTGCCAGATATTCGGCTGTCCGTCCACGCATCATGTAACATATATCGTAACTCGTGTTCAATCGGTTTCTTAATGCCTAATGGTATTTTGGAATCACTTTTCAATAACTTCAGAGCTATGACAAAAAAAAATATTATATTACTCACAAATACCCTATTCTTGGTACATCTATGTAAATAATGCCAGTGCTCTGTCAAGCGTTTCTATTGTAATTTAAATGACAGACCAATTGCTTTCCAATGCCTATGGTCACTTCCATCAAAAGTAGTCCCAGTATACTAATATCTGATAAAAATGGCATTAACCCTTTGAACACCAAGGTCAACTGCAGACACTGTCAATAAAATAGTTCCAAATATGGTCTGCTCCTTTTTGCATAGAATGTTGATGAACACTTAAAATTTGTTGATCGAAAGCTATAAGCAATGTCAATTTTTTGTCCAAAATTAAAATTGAATTCAGTGAAAATTAAAGAAAATGTGAACAAATAATTCAAGCAGTGAAAAAAATATGGCCTTTAAAATGTTAAACATTACTCCAACTTTTTTTTGTTGCTCAAACTTAACTTTGAATAAAAATACGATATCATTATCCATATTATGTTAATGTGTACATAATAATTGCACACAAAAATGGCTAAAGTTTTGGGGAAGATGGCGGCCTACATGGTCTATTACCTTTGTTAGCAGAGACTTCTACACTGTCTACATCATGGATGTGCCACTGTGATTGACATAAGTATAACCAGCCAAAGATGAAGTCATCAAAACCTTTCAATCCTGAAATGAACATGGTAAGTTTGTAATAATATAGTTTATATATGGATGCAGTGAACACATCTTTAAATTGGCCGCAATTTCCTAAAACTTTGTGTCAGTTATTCCTGTTATTGTCTTATTAAAAAATAAACTCAGTTTACCCAAACTGGTACCAATAGTATGTACCATATTTCAATCAATTGTCTATTCAAAATGGCTGTCAGAGTACTTTGTATTACAGCAGTTCTGAGAATTATTAGGACAATCAGGTAGCAAGAATGCTTGCTCACATATGAGTGATTGTTTGTCGCATCAACTTTTCATTTTTTCAACTTCTTCTTGAAAACTACAAGTCTGATTGCTTTGATATGTATGTTGGGTATGTACCTTGGGTAGACCTCTCTTAGATTTGTTCATTTCATGATAATACCTTTAATCGTCTAATTTTGGTGAATATTTTTGTCACTTTTGGTAATAAGTGATATTTTCCGTAAGTCTGATTGTTTTGATACTATACATATAGGGACCTCAGGTAGACCTTTTTCAGATTTGTTTATTTTCTGATGATATCTTCAGTTCTTTAATTGAAATGTACATTGGTAACAGCAGAGCTATCTCAGCTGAGAGGCTGCTTGTTGTTTATTCACATTGTACGTAATTCAAGAACTATAAAAACACAAAATAACCTCATCTGGTATAGAAAGGAAATGATTTGAGCTGTGCACATAAAAAGTTGCAAGACATCTTGCCGATCAACTGTCTGAATATTTCTGAGAATGGGTCGAGTACAAAATAATATGATGCATCCTTGGTGATGCTGTACCTCACTCCCAGCAGGCATCAAGGATCAATGTGACCGAATTTGATTTTTTGAATTCCAAAATATCTCAATACATCTACAAAATCAATCCTATAGAGGGCACACTGGTCCAAAAGACTAGAATAGAATGATTGAGGCAGGTTTTAACTATACATAATGAGTTAACTGCCAATACTTTGTATATATAACCACCTTCTAATAACAGATCTCTTGCTCCAATTAAGTCCTTCTTCGTCAGTTTAACAAATCCCTGTCCAATAATAGATATTGACGATGACGGATCAATGGTGTTTAAGCTGGTGTATATTTCATGTGCTCTTGTAGAGTTAGAATCTAACAAAAAAATAGTCAATTAATTGCAAACACTGAAAAGACCAACACATTCACACCAATGATGATTGTTTTTTTTACTAATATAAATGTACTTTACTGTTACTGGTATTAAACAGAAATATAATAAATAAAATGTCATTATTTCGGCATACATGAATGCTTTCTTTTGAAAGCTACAAACACTGGATGGGTTCGAGAATGGAATACTTACCTAGTTTTCTCTGTAAATAAAACCTAGATAAAACTTCAAGAGGAAATGTTGAAGTAGGAAATTTGGTAGACATATTTGAACATTCATTTTCCACCTTATCGGTCTCAGCAACAAATGCCTGCAATAAAGAATTGGAAATCACTGACAGAGGACAATTCATTAGTGTCTTTCTCAGATTTTGACTGAAACCAGGACTAATAAAACAAGACAACTATTAGTTTTGATATAAACAGTCAGTATATTATGTTGAAAATTTTTAAAATGTTTTTGTGATAGACAAGAATGTCACTTTCCTGACTTTGTTTACATTGCAAGTGCCGAAGATAAAGCTAAGTGCATTTTTTCTACAGAAACAATATTTAATGTTCAGGACTACAAGACAAGGCTGGCTCACATTTAAGTTCAATAAAAAATGACCCAGGTAACCAATAGTTTTATGACAAATTCATGTACAGTATATCCCCCAGTAAATCATGAGTTATATAAGAACAGATTTGGTTAATCTTGGTAGATAAATGATTTTGAAGAAATGCATGGAATCATAGTATCGAAAAACTTAATTACATGTATTAATGAAAAACATTTACTGGGTATATTGATATAAACACTTAAGTCATGCAGCAAAATCATTTATTTTTATAAATATACTCAAATTTATAAGCCCAACGGTTCTCATTTGAAATCTGTCTTTTCAAATTCAAATGAAATACATGTACCGGGGTAACTTGATTGGCTCGGCAGGCATTTCCCCCCATTTTGAAAAATGTTCCTGCATCAATCAGAACTAAATTCAAACATAAAATATTTTTTTTTAGAAATCAGTTTTGATACAATGCACATACGTATACAACACACATACATATACAACGCACATACGTATACAATGCACATACGTATACAATGCACATACGTATACAACGCACATACTTATACAACGCACATACGTATACAATGCACATACGTATACAATGCACATACGTATACAACGCACATACGTATACAATGCACATACGTATACAATGCACATACGTATACAACGCACATACGTATACAATGCACATACGTATACAAGGCACATACGTATACAATGCACATACGTATACAAGGCACATACATATACAAGGCACATACGTATACAATGCACATATGTATACAATGCACATACGTATACAACGCACATACGTATACAATGCACATACTTATACAATGCACATACGTATACAAGGCACATACGTATACAAAGCACATACGTATACAATGCACATACGTATACAATGCACATAGGTATACAATGCACATACTTATACAATGCACATACGTATACAGGCACATACGTATACAAGGCACATACGTATACAGCGCACATACGTATACAACGCACATACGTAATACATGCACATACGTAT